GATTTAGGAGTGGCTTTGGAACAAATGACCACCTACAAGTAATAAAATCCTTGATAGAGAAAGTTATAGAATACAACAAGCCATTGATATTAATATTTGTAGACTTTGAGAAAGCATTTGACTCAGTCCAGCATAGCTCCATGTTAAGAGCTCTTACAGAGTGCAGTATTGACCATAGGTACACAACTCTTCTTCGAAATATATATGATAGCGCAACAGCTGCTGTAAAAATGTACTATGGTGACACAGACACATTTCCCTTGGAGAAAGGTATTAGGCAAGGAGACACTATCTCTCCTAAACTATTCACCGCCCTATTACAGAGTGCTATGAGAAAAAATAATTGGGAAAATATTGGATTAAATATAAATGGGGAATTTTTGAACAACTTGAGGTTTGCAGACGACATAGTCCTTATTGCAGATCAGGTAGATCATGCATGCCAACTTCTTCAAGACCTTCAGAGCTCTTGTGCACGAGTTGGCCTTAAAATTAATTTTTCCAAAACACAATACATGACCAACCTGGTACTGGCAAAAAACATTTCCACTAATGGCACGCAAATTGAACAAGTGTATTCCTATAAGTATCTGGGCCACGAGATTAAATTGGGAAGAGACAATCAAACAACAGAGTTAAAAAGGAGAATAGGACTGGCATGGGCAGCTTACGGAAAACTGAGGGAAGTCTTTAAATCAGCTATTCCCATGTGCTTGAAGAGAAAAGTTTTTGATCAGTGTGTACTTCCAGTTCTGACATATGGAGCAGAAACATTGACACTTACCAGAAAAGTAATTAATAAGATACAAGTGGCACAGAGAGCGATGGAGAGGTCAATGTTGGGCGTATCACTCAGGGACAGAGTTTCGAGTCAGATAGTAAGGAGAAAAACTGGTGTGACGGACGCAGTTGAAAGAATTACAACCCTGAAATGGAACTGGGCAGGACATGTTGCTAGGGTCAGAGATGGAAGATGGACAAAGAAAATTTTAGAGTGGAGGCCTAGACACGATGCTTATCGTAGTCGAGGACGTCCTCCAACAAGGTGGTCGGACGATTTAAAGCGCATCCAGTCTAACTGGATTCAAGTTGCTCAAGATCGGATGCAATGGAATTATTTACGGGAGGCCTATGTTCAGCAGTGGACGCAAAATGGCTAATGATGATGATTCACCCTGTATATTAGAATAATAATTTAAAATACGGAAAATAATTGTATCCGAACGTCTTCGGTTCCCCATGTGCGATCGGTACTCACCGGAGGGACCGCAGACGTTCGGATACAATTAACGTCTCTTAGCAAAGACAATGACGTCGACTTTGCCAAGTATCAAGACAATTACTCTACACATAAACACACTACACTAGGTACCTGACTGTACCATGCCAATGATCATAGTTGTCGAGGCATTAACTCAATAAAAAAAAAATCAAAAATCGTTGTGTTTTAGAATTATTTCTTAAAATGCCCTGTTTAGCCAAAAAAGAATTTGTTCCATATTTTACGGACACAGTGTATATTGGTCTATATCAAATTGGGTCGATTTATGATTACCTGGTAGTATAACTTTGGTGTCATATTTCATAAAAATGCATTTTATTATGAAAGAAATAATGTTAAATACATTGATAGGCCGTGTGCTGATATAAATGACAAAAAGGGTAGACGGAAGTACAACTTTATTGTAACAAAAAAATAAAAATAATAATAACTTGCTTAAAATAAAAACAAAATGCTTTTATTGATTAATATGACGTCAGAAGATTAGTCAGTCAGAACATGGCGACGTATGACTCCAGATGAAGTTGCTGGTCCTGAGACGGTGGGTCTACGAGGACTTGAGGAAAGCATATGGAGTCATACGTCGCCATGTTACCAAATCCACTGGTAACTTTAACATCACAATAATTAATACCATATAATGTAATCTAAATTTAAACAAACAATTTTTAACGGGTTTTTACTTACATATTTAGTGGCTCAATACATGTATACCTAGACACTGATGATGGATTCCGAAAACGTTTTGTGATATAGCCCGATTTGGTTTTTTAAACTAGATACCTTTTATAAAGGATTTTTGATTAATTTTTTTGTGATATATGGTATACAGTCAACTAAAAGAACTTAGATTCCTTGTGGATATGGCATCTTTCTCGCTTTCTGTCAAGGCCATTGGATAGAGTATAAGGTTTTATGTCTATATCAGAGTAAAATTTAAAATTCAAAATTTTTAATAGAAAACCTAATGAAAAAAAAAAAACTGATAATAAATATTAAATTTTAAAATGTTTTTACTTTTATTAATTGACCTTAAAACTCATATAATGTATATTATAAAACTCTAAACAACTTTAGATCATTCACTAAAATTAATAATAACTAGTTTATATTATAATATATTATATAGCTACACAAGGTATTATCAAATCATTAATATATCGAAAGAACATAAATTTATTGCTCACCGATGCATTTTTGTGTCAGTCTGATAATTTTTAACTCTAGTTTTCTTGGTCTATAGCTGAATCCGTCGATGTTACTTACCATTTATCACAAACCGGCATCTTTTTCTTCGAAAGCATCTCTCGCGATTTGTGGCGGTATCTCCTCGATACCATAAATATAAAACATAAAGAGTTATGGTATGAATTTGTATTATGCTTTATATTCAGCGTACCGGTAGTTTCTATTTTATTCTAATATTCTTTCGGAAATGAAAAATCGTTGCTTTCCATAACTTATTCAATTTTTATGTTTGTTGTTTCTTTGAGGAAATATGTTTAGCGTTGGGAAATTGTGGTGGCAGAAAATGATTTATATCGACAGATTTATTTCATTTAACTCTAAAGGTAAATGTACATAAGTTTTGTTATTTTTCTTTTTTTCAATTGTTATATAAATTAATATTATTATCATTATTATATTATTTATTCATTCCAACTAATAATTTAAAATAATTATCTCCAAAATAAATAGATTCTCGAAAAATTGCTGCATATACACGTTAGGTTAGGCTAATAAATCATGTCCCCAAATTCTTCTTGAAGATACTAGATATTCGTATACATTAAAAACTGTACGAAGGAATAAATGATATTTTGTTTGACTAAAACTAGAAACCAGACACGTGGATCTACACTTAGTTTTATAAAAACTGATAGATAGATTGATTTGTATTTGATTTGATGAAGTTTATTTGATTGGTCAGACATCATATTATATTTATTATGACAGACAAATTATAAAATAAACAAGTAAACAACAAACAATTGATTACATATGGTAATTACAAATTATGTAATGTTATGTTAATTACAAATTTTAATAATAATTAAAGCAAGTACTGTAATCAAATTAAATGATAACTGGGCACTATCAGAGGCAGCAAAACATTTTTGTACCTGAACCTCAGTTTTTCTATTAACTACACTTTGACCCCTATGTATATCATACATAATACACAATAGGTACTCTTCCTGATGTTATGTGTATGAATTTAATACACGAGGGTAGAACGCATTAAATCGACGGTGTATGTGGTCCGAACGCAGTTGTAGTTTATTTATACATGTCGTACGGCCGTAGCATCCTCTCCGTTATCTGGAGTTTCTGGACGCTCAGCGGCCGCCGCTCTTGAAGATGATCTCGTATTGCGATGATCCATCTTCGTATAGGAGTTGGTACAGATACCGGCTTATTCGTGTAAGAATCTCTATCGAGCCTATGCAACAAGCGACGTGACACCGGCAAACAGAATTCTCTAACAGCTCGAGCTTTCTTACAATGATAATATATTTCTTACAATGACAATACGTGTTAGAATTCTGTTGCGTGGTATATGCCCCAAAATTGCAGAGATGTCGGTTTCCTTCTTATCGGGAATCGCCGCGTTCTCTCTCCTAGAAAGAGGCACAAAAATGCCCGTTGTATCGGCTCTCCAATCGCCCGTCACTTTGTACACCACCTTTCGCACTATCAGTTTTACCAGTGTTTACTAATTACTGAAAAATGCATAAGGTTCAAAGTGTCGAAGCGTCGTCGTGGCTTGACTCGGAGCGGTGAAACCGAATATAAGTCTCCGTCGGGACTTCTCCTCGTATTCTGTGCACTCCACTGTGGTATAATAGCAGACAACGAATGATGCCTTCAGGTATCTTCGACGTCTGAATTGGAAATACTCGCTGATCTTCGAAGTTGGTGTAATCGTTAAAATTCGACGTAAGGACGATTTGGATATTTGGATTAATAATGAACCAACAGTTTTACTAGGAAGCACCACTAACCAACAAGGTCTAGTAGGGCTCGAAGTGTCTGACAACTGAAGTCCCGATCAGCAGCAGCAATCTGATTAAACCCAGCCTATGAGAAATGTTCACCCAGGTAGTACGATCGGGTGTAACAATTCATTGGAGCAAGGTGTGCTAACTCGAGTAAAAACAGGAGTCATCCCACCGTGCTCCAATGCTCTAGACCATCCCTTTCCCCCCTATAGCAATCTGATTCGCTATAGAGGTACAAAAATCAGCCAAGTGCTTTTCATGTGTAGGTCCTGGGTAATAGAACCCCAACATGGTTTCCTAATACGATTGCAAAAACTCAGGACAGCGCATCTCCGCTTTATTCCTGTTTATCTTAATGTGGCTTATCCGCGAACTAAGAAGTCCCGATCGGACGGTGCGTTGCTTTTTTATACACATCGTGTTTGAGAATCCGCAACGCTTCGCCGCCGAGAGACCAATGACAGCGAAGTTAATAAAGAGCGCTGTGATTGGCCGGCCAAAGTAACAATCTTTGTCGAGATTGTGTATTTTGGCGACAATTTAATCATTACTTTAGGCTGAAATCCAATTTTCAATGTTAGTTCGGTAGTATGCTAGAATCGGCAACATTGTAGATGAAATTTAGAGACACGAAATTGTCTAGTGGCAAGTGGGCAAGTGGCATGCCATACCAGTTACTGTTAGACCTTCATTGCAGTCGGGTTTAGTAATGTATAATGTCTAAAAATAACAAGCGATACCTTTCTTTACACGAACTTGAGCGTCTATCTGAAAATAATTTTAGCGAAATAAGTGATTGTGAATTTGGTGATTTAGATGCCCATCCATTTTACACTAATATTTCCTATAACAATGAATATTCTTCAGATTGTGAAACACAAACAAAACAGCAGAAAGTGCCGAAGTTACGTAGTAAATGAAATGTATCTAATTTGAAATGTATCTAATTTTAAAATATTTTAGGATGATAATTTTACAAGTCAACCAAGAATTCAAGATGAACAGTTGAATTTGCAAATAAACGAAAGTGAATCTGAAATTGAAGATCTAAATAATATGAGATATGGTAAATTCTCATATAGGGAATTTACAGGCAAATGTTATATGGAATAATGTTGATGGATATTTCAGTACATTCGACATTATATATGAAAATACTTCTTTTGGTATAGGTATAGGAACTAGGGAAAATGATACGCCTCTAACATTTTGTAGACTGCTCCTAACAGATTGATACATACTTTGATTTTTTTGGATTTAAGTAAAACCGCCGTTCACAAAACCATATTTTGCATTCTGAATATAAAAAATTTATCTCAACTATTCCTTTCTCGTTCTTTGTTTCACAATATTAAGGTTTCTAATATTATTCAAGGTTAAATGAAAGGCATGTCATTTATTTATCTTTAATTAAGTCTTTCTATACATGCATACGTTGGCCTTGCCTTATTTATCGTATTTGCAAATATCAAAATAGATACAATAATAATTAAAGTCAATAAATATAATTTAGAAAATTCCTTTTGTCCGCTAATGATACTTGTAGTGGAAGGCTCCAAGAAAACTGTTTGCCATGTATTTTGATCACTTTCAGAATTATCGGAAAATATTATTTTAACTTATATTAAAAAAAGTTAAATTTGTTTTTGGAATATCTGTTTGAAATACTGAGAGATGTCCATTATTTTCTTGGGAAGTATTTAACATTTTCCAGGATGGAAGATTACACTCTTGTTTTGTATTGTTTATATTAAAACAAACTGCTATATAATGGGCACTATATGGTATGTTTGTGTACAATATGTTGTTGACTATTGCAAACAAAAATAATATAATTTGTTTTTAATAAACACATTTTTAATTGCTAATTGAAACTGTGCACTCTCTTTAACAGCTCATTCAACACTGAGTACTGTCTTATTGAATTAACCTATTAAAATAAAACACATTAATAATAATACAATTTTTTATTTGTTATTTAATTCTTGGTGACGTTTAATTTCCTTTAATCTAAATAATTTTTTTGAATTATATGAATTGATAAAACTGTGTTTCTATTTAAATTTGGTATATAGGTTGTATCTCTCTGTAGTATCATTGTCCCTATTTTCTTTCTCCTCCTGTTCTTTCCTCTCTGGAACGGTTTTCTGTAAAACAAAATTACAATATCAAAATTTGTGATAAATATATATATTATTTGTGGTGGTTACAACCGATGATTACGATATAAATTATATGAATCGAAAATTATTTGAGGAATATGCCAAATGGGGGCTTACTGTAAACATAAGCAAAACAGAATATTTAAAAATTGGAGGAAATACCACAGATCTGAGGCTTGAAAACGCAGTCATAAAAGGTTGCAACCAGTATAAATGTGTGGCAGGATTTGGAAAACTGAGTTGGATTTGAAAAGCACTAAAATAGAACAGTATTTGAAAAACAAAATTTATGATCAGTGTTTCCTCCCTATACTCACGTATGGTTTAAAGACGTGGACACTCACCAAGTCCAATATGTATAAAATAATAAAAGCATAAAGAGCGATGGAACGATCAATGCTCGGGGGTGAGACTTATAGACAAAAAAAAACAAATACATGGATTAGAAGCAAAACTAAAGTAAAAGACACAGGAAAACATGCAGCCAAATTGAAATGGAGCTTCGCAGGACACAATGCCCGACTGAACGATAAGAGATGGAACCACGAAATACAACTATGGAGGCCATGGTTAGGAAAGAGAAGCAGAGGTAAACCACAAATGAGATGGGCTGATGATATTAGGAAGATCGGAGGAGATAACCGGAAGCAAGTGGCGCAAAATAGAAAAACCTTGATTGATTTAAAGGAGGCCTATGTACAAAGTTGGATTACTTAAGGCTAAAGAAGAAGAAGAAAGTATTTTCTCTATACTCACGTATGGTTTACAGACGTGGACATTCACCAGGTCTAATATGGATACAATAGTAAAGGCATAAAGAATGATGGAAAGATCAATGCTCGGATTGAGACTTGTGGACAAAAACAGCAAAACAAATGACTTGGACGCAAAACCAAACGTAAAAAACCCAGAACTACATGCTGCTAGATTAAAATAAAGTTTTGTAGACACAACGGCCGACTAAAGAATAAAAAATGGGACCACAAAATACAACAATGGAGACCATTATTAGGAAAGAGAAGCAGAGGAAAATTACTAATGAGATTGGCTGATGGCAATAAAAAGATCAAAGGACATTAACTGGAAGCAAGTGGCGCAAAATTAAAAACACTTAATTAGTGTTTCAACAAAAAGATTAATTAGGAGGAGGCCTATGTCCAAAGTTAGAATACTTAAGACTTAAGAAGAAGATGCATACAAAAATTATTTAAAAATGACAGACAAGCAGCAAACATAAAAACTGTTATAACAAAAAAAGAAGGTATACATGCAGTAAAATCGGCAAAAAATATTAAAACTACAGGTTCTGACGAATACCATCAGTAATTAATAAATTAATCGGATCAAATATATACCAAGGCCAGAGCCTGAGTTGGGCTTTAGCGTCATAGAAAGAGGGTAAAAATAAAAACGAAGACAGCAAAGATGATATAGTAGAGACACAAGAAATATATTCTGATTCTAAAAATTCAATTGAAGATTACAATGTAGACTTCCTCACAAGTAATACCTTTTCTTGTAAGAAAAGATGAAAACAGTAAGTAGGCACCCACTCCTCACATTACGTACAGGTGTAGTAAACTTCATAACTTATATGATGGCTGCTAAAGTGGTCGTTACAAAATTTGGAGACATCATTTGATACTAAGAGGCAGATTTTGAATACATGTGCAAAATGTTATTCTGATAATATCGTTTAAAGAAATACCTAAACTATATTTTTTATTTCTTTTTGTATATTTACATTTACATCGAAAATTAGATATAGCCATTCTCTCTGAGACCAAGAAAAAAGGAAATGAAAGCGAAAAATTAAAAGACTATGTACAGTTGCGGTCACGGAATAGTTTACACCTTACTTTTATATTGTAATACTGTAAAATTGCAGTGTCGTACGGATTTGATAAATGTCAAAGTGAAAAATTTCAAAAGGTCAATGCTTTCGCGAGTGTTCAACAATAAAATAAAAGTATATTAAACTCTTCCAAAATGGTTAGAATACATTTGAATTATGCGCAAAAAGCAAGAGCAATTGCCAAACTCGAAGAAGGTTGGTCACTAAGGCAAGTTGCTGCTGATTTGAACGTGAGTCATATGTGCATATGGAAGATTAAACAAAGATGGGATAATTTTCACTCTACAGCACGGTTGGACGGTTCAGGAGGGCAGAAGATTTCCACAGATCAACAGGATGAGATGTTAGTAGATTATTTGAGAGAATCTCCTTTTGCCACAGCTCAAAAGGCAAGAGAAGAGGCAGCGTTTCCAGGCAGTATTCGCACGTCACGTCGAAGAATTAAAGCAAGTGGACTGCTAAATTGTGTAGCTGCACGGAAACCTTTTTTGACTGAGGATCACAAGAGGAGACGAGTTGAATTTTGTAATGAATTTATAAACCGCGATGAGAATTTTTGGTCTAGGGTTGTATTTTCCGATGAAAAAGTATTTCAGTGGTATAATAATGGTCGAATAAAAGTTTTATAGGCCGAGAAATCATAGGTATGATGAACAGTATACGCATCATTTAAGAAATAGTGGAGGATTCTCTGTCAACGTATGGGATGGATAAGTGCCGAAGGCCCGGGCGTTTGTTATCATGTAGAGGAGAAGTTAACAGGATTATATTACAAACATATTATTGAGCACACAATGTTGCCATCGGTGATCCAGAGATTCCCCAACAACGACTTTATCTTCCAACATGACAATTGCCCGGTGCATACGAGTAGAATTGTTCGAGAATGGCTAGAAGAAACTGATGTTAATGTTCTTCCGTGGCCTTCCCGTAGTGCAGACTTTAACCCCGTCGAAAATGTGTGGTCAGAGTTAACAAAGAAACTAAATGAAAGAAACCTTAGACCACGGAATAGAATTGAATTATGGGAAGCAATTGAGCAGGCATGGGAAGAGCTTGTTAACTACAACATGAGGGGATTAGTGCTATCTATGAACAGAAGACTGCAAAATTGTATTGACAAGAATGGGGCTTCCACCAAATATTAATTTATTATTTATCATTGTTTATCGTTATTTAATATAAAATAGATTTAAAATAAAATGCATATTAAAAAAAAGACTTCTTTATTTTCGTTATTAAGATCATAATCCATTTTATTCAAAAAACTGTTTTCTATATTTTTCATTTTGTAAAATATTTTGATATTTTAATTTTAATCTACCTATTCTAGCTAGTACACCACTGGCAACGTCACTTTGACGTAAAAGGTGCGTTTAAACGAAGTAAAAATTTAAAAAATGGGCTCCTAGATACGTGAACCTGTAAACTATTCCGTGACCGCAACTGTACATTTCTTCTCAGGAGTGGAAAAGGATCAAAGAGCAAGCGCAGGAATATCTATATTTGTACACAAGAGATTCGAAAAATATATTAAATCTTGGGAAGCATACAACGAACGTTTTAATAAAGTGTGCGAAGATTATATGCGGAGGAGACCTTAATGCTAGAGTAGGAAAACAAGTACAAAGTAAAATGGTAGGCATGCATGGAGAAGAAACTCTTAACAATAACAGAGAAAGACTCATAAATATATGCCAACAATATGAGTTAAAGATTTTGAATGGCTTTTTTGCCCACAAGAACATACATAAATACACCTGGTATCAGCACACAAGAGGTCTAAAGTCGATAATAGATTATTTCGTAACAAGGCAACAAACTAAGCTAAGAGTACAGGACGTAAAGGTGAATAGAGGAGCAGAGTGCGGTTCGGACCACTGCCTGATAATAGGAAAAATATATACACCATTCGTAGACAGGAATCACACAGACATCAACAAAGAATACAGAGAAAAAATAGAAAGAACGACGTACACCTTAGACAATCTAGATAACGAGAGCACACAATTACTTTACTCCTGGAGACTAACACAAAAACTACAGGAATCACACAGATCTAAAAATCACAGATCACAGATATAAAAAACTGCACG